CTTTGAAAGTAGGAGGCTTCCTGCTCATCCTCTGTGTCCAGCCTGTGAGCTGGAGGGGGGGGGGGAGGAGATGTTGAGAGAGATTCTGTCCTGCTGCTGAGGCTCTCACAAGCACAGGTGTGTTTTTGTGTGTAAGCTGTGGATTGCTACATTTATCCAGCCACATGAAAGACAGTGTGTCCTGGAGTAGTGTCCTCTCTTCTCTCTGTCCCTCCTCCCTCCCTCCCTCCGTCCCTGAAGAAAGAGAGAAAAGGCAATCAGGGCCAGAGCCCTAGCTAGCATCATACCTTACTGTCGTGCACAGCTGCTGAGCCCTGGTTTCTGGGTTATTTGGTTTTAATTTGAGATGCTGGGGACTGGAACCCAGGGTCTCCTGTACCCTATGAGGTGCTTTTCTCTAAGCTGTAGCCTCAGCCCTGCTTTTGCTTTTTATTTTGAGTTAGGGTCTCACTACTAAGCGGCCCAGGCTGACCTTGAACTTATGACCCTCCTGCCTCAGCCTCCTGAGCACTGGAATTCCATAGCAGGCAGGCTCCTGACCTCTCATTTATAGTGTGTGCACTCTCTGGCTTGGTGTAATAAAAAAGTTTCCCTCGTGAAGCTACTCTTTTTCTTTGAATACTTTCTCTAACTTTTTTGCTGTTGACTCTCAACTTTTTATTTTGGAAATTTCCACTTTTAAAAAGGTTGATCGAGAGGAACAGTAAACACCCGCCAATTTTACACACTTTAACAAATGGTGTCTATATCGTGACACCTTAACTACTGAAGGGTGGGTTTTCTGAGAGGCCGTTCTCCCGAGTTACTGAGATTGCACCCTAGTGAGGCCTTTTAAGTAGGGTTGTGACCCTGTGGCTGACATGGCCTTGCTGCCGTAGCGTGCCCAGGCGATGTGCATTGCTGCCAGGGTTATTCTAGACAAGGCCTAAGCCTGACTTCCCCTCCTGTTCACCCCCTGTGCCTCCACAGACTCCAGCGTTTGTGGTGTCTTTTAAGGCACTGGCATTCCGTTTCATTTTTCTACATTTATTTTATGCACATAGTGTTTTGCGTGCACCTTTATCTGTGCATCACATGCAGAGGTCGGAAGAAGGGGCTGGGTTCCCTGCTCCTGCCTTCGGGGGCTCCGTACCCGCTGGCCAGGGGCCTCACAGGTTGCAACTGCTGCTGCTCACGAGGTGTTGGTGTCCGTGAACTCTGGAGACCGAATTCCCGGCAGCCTTGTCTCCTTTCCCATAGCCCTCTGGGAAGTCAGTTTCCCGTGCTCACGGGGTTCAGGACTCATTGGCAATACTGAATGAGAAACAAAGGCTGGAGTCGCTGGTTTGAGTAGGAAACTCTTATTCCATACTGTAAAATACTAACACGGCCTCGCTTCAGGCACTGAGGTGATTTTCATGGGAACAAAAGGGAAAGCAGGATTTGGCCCCTGCCCTGTGGTTGGTACTGCTGACTGTCAGGGCGGAAGGGGCATGGGGGGGAGGTGGCTCTGAAGAGAGAGGCTCTGCCCCCGCAGCCGCTCCTGAACCTAAGCGCCAGGGTGCCATGCACTTGGTCACCTCAGGGTTCAAGGGACAGGCCCTGCCATGTGAGACTGAACAGGTAGCTGACGTCCTAGAGCGGAAGGCCTGCAGCGTGCTTCAGTTCCGGGCTCCATCGTGTGGGTCCCCTCCGCGTCAAGAAGGCAGTGGTAAGGCTGGGCACAGTCCTTTGATCCCAGCACTCGGGGCACAGGCAGGCGGGTCTCTGTGGGTTTGGCCATGTAGACTTTCTCAAAATAAAAAGAAGGACCCTGTGTCAGCTGCCACCTACTCAAAAAACAAAAACAAGCAAGATAAAATGTAAGGTGTGCTTGAAAGCAGCTACTTTAAGTATTGACAAGGAGCCTCGTCTCTCTGTTGTTTCTTGGTAGATTCCCAGTCCACTCTTTAAGAAGAGCTGTAGTTTGGAGCCCTGTGTTCTTAATTTCTTGGTATGACAGCGATAGAATGTGCAAGGCAAGCTCCTTCCATTTATTTTTATTATTATTATTATTATTATTATTATTATTATTATTTTGGTTTTTCATGACTGGCTGCTGTGTAGCCCTGGTTGTTCTGGAACTCATGTTCTGTAGACTAGGCTGGCCTCGAACTCACAGAGATCCGCCTGCCTCTGCTTCCCGAGTGCTGGGATGAAAGGTGTGCGCCACCACCGCCCGGCCCTAACCCTGTTTCTGAGGCAATGCTTTCAGCATCGCTGGGGGCAGAGCGCATCCCTCCTACCCTGAATCACTAGCCTGCTCAGCTGGGGCCTCCTGAGGCTTGTGGCTTGTGGCGTGTGTGTGTGTGTGTGTGTGTGTGTGTGTGTGTGTGGTATCTGAGCAGGTGGATCAACTTCCCAGAGGCTGTTGGTGGTAAAGTGCAGGGAGAGACACTTACCATGTACCACATGAGAGTCTGGCTGTCATGGAGCTCAGAGTGCCATTGAGTGGAGAGAGAGGCCCATGTGAAGGCACCATCATGCCGCGTGCAGGCTGCCTTCCTGCCAGGCTGTCCTCACATGACTCACTCGTATCTGAAAATGGCACTCATTGCCCTTGGCACCTCCTCCTCCTGTCCCCTGGGAGGGGGAGGGCAGGGCTGCCTTGTCCCTGAGGAGGACTTTGCCGGCAGATAAGGACCTGTGTGCCACTGTGCTGCTGCGCGGCCTGCCTCCCTCCATCCCCTGACCCGTGGGACACCCTTGCAGTTCCCTGTCCTTTGGGACGTGCTATTCCTCACTGCAGACTCTAAACAGTTCGCGGGGCCCAAGGCCTGGCGTGTGTGTGTGTGTGTGTGTGTGTGTGTGTGTGTGCGCGCGCACGCGTGCACACTGCTGCGCCGCCAGGCTGGGATTTCCTCCAGTTCCTTCCGTCTGCAGCTCCGTGTGTCCCTGAAGCTCTGTGATGTGGTGGTCACTCCCGGCTTCTCTTCCGGCCCTGTAGCTGCCTAGTGTAGTGCCCCCAATCATGCTCTCAGATGGCTATAACCTCCAGTTTCACAAAGAGCAAATGATCCAGGAGAGCCAGGACTGAATCGAGTCCTAGACACAACCCAGGCAGGGGGTTCTGTGTACTCATGGCTGAGGTTACCAACATTCAGATGGGTGGGCAGGATGAGTGGCAGCCCTCGCCACTGTGGAGTGTACTTTCCAGAATGCTGGTGCTTTGGGGTGGCACCCGGTTGCGGCAAAGTGTAAGGAACTAATGTCTTTTCTTACCGTAGTCACGTGTCTTCTTTAAATCTGCTTTTGGTTGTGTTAATTGGAGACATTGCCGTAAGCCCCCCTCCCCATTTTTGATTAACTGATACAGAGGAGTGGCCCCTGCCAGGCTTGTGTGTTCCCTGCAGCACCGTCTTCATAGGGGGCACACCTGTGCCGGGTCATTACTTCCAGCAATGTTGTAGATGGCTGCAGGGTCAGCTGATTCAGGTGCTTAGGCGCATTTTATAGAGTTTACAGATGATATTACAAGTCCTTCCCTTAATTTTTGTTTTGAGATCATTGTTTGTTCATAATATATTAAATAATACAAAATAATACTAGGGTGAGCTTCTCCGAGCTCTTCAAACCGGTTTCCACTGTACATAAACAATGAGATGTGCCTTCTTCTCCCTCCCAAGCCCCTCACAACCTCTGGTTTTCAGTTTCTGGAAGTTTGTCTGTCCATGGATGGTGTATAACAAGGTCACCTTAGCTACATGGTGAGTTTGAGGCCAACCTGGGATATATGAGCCCCCATATCAGTGCAGAGCAAGCAGCACAAGTGGTCCAAGCTCACCCTGTGCATGTGGCTGTTCAGGCTATGGACAGTGCGTGTGCAAAGGGAGGGCCACTCCTTTTCATGTGTGCATGTGTGTGCTTCCTGAAGGACACGTGGTAGCTGTGGCTTTGGGCTTGCATCTGTACTGCCCCACAGGGCTGCTGCTGGGCTGTGGTGGCTTGCAAGCTCAGGGTTTGGTTTTGAGAAACGTAATTGCTATCCAGGTGGTTCGCACCAGTCCCCATCCCTGCCCCGGTGTCTGAAGGACTTTTCTCTCCACGTCTTCCTCAGCGTTCGGGGTGTGATGGTTTTGTTTCTGCTGTCTGATGGTGTACAGTGTGGGGCACAGGGACGGTGTCCTGTGTGCTTCCGCCTGTGCTCCCAGAGGCCGGCCTCTGCTCCTCGCTTCCGCCTTGCTCCCAGAGGCTGGCCTCTGCTCCTCGCCTCCGCCTGTGCTCCCAGAGGCCAGCCTCTGCTCCTCGCCTCCGCCTGTGCTCCCAGAGGCCAGCCTCTGCTCCTCGCCTCCGCCTGTGCTCCCAGAGGCTGGCCTCTGCTCCTCCGTGTGGGGCTGTTGGAGTGTGTCTGAGCTCCTTGGGAGCTCCAGTTTTCTTCCTTGTGAGATGATGGTTTCACTGCTTAGCCCAGTCTGGACTTGAACTTCTAACCCTCCTGACTCCACCGTAATGCCTAGCTTTTGTTCATGTTCTGATTGGATTTTAGCTATTGAGAGGATTTTTGTTTTGTTTTAGGTCATGGTAAATATTTAACAAAAAAAAAAAAAAAAAAAAAAAAAAGACCATCCTAATTTTTTCCTTCCATCAAATTTCTACATTTGTCAAAAATGATTTAGCAGTCCTCTCATCCAGAAGGGGAGGGAGTGACGAGCTGCTGTTTTCTGTCTCTCCCAGCACTGAGTAAACTGTGTAACCCTGATGCCGGGGTGAGGGAACCCTCCGTGTGTGTTGTTTTTCAGAGTCCCGTTAGCTATGTTGGTTGTCTTGCCTTCCACATAGATTCAGGAATCATCTTCCATTTCACTACAAAAAGAGCCTGCTGGGCTCGGCACTGTGTTGAACTTCTCTCTAGACCGAGGCTTGTGTTCCGTGGACTTGGATCTCCCCCCTCAGGAAGATGTGCTGTGCTGCGCTGTCGCCTGTGGACAAGGTGCTTTTGTTGAGGGCACAGCAGCAATGTCTGTCATTTCCTTTTGTCACAGGCCTATGAAAGGAGGTTCCCTACATGTCCTTTGATTCCAATGTTCGTGGATAGTGACACCGTGAGTGAATTCAAGAGTGAAGATGGAGCTATTCATGTCATCGAGAGGCGCTGCAAGCTGGATATAGACGCTCCCAGGCTGTTGAAGAAGGTAGCTGGAGGAGGGCACTTTAGGAGGCTTCGAGCCCCCGGGGGGGGGGGAGCTCACTGCAGAGCACTGTTTATGACGATTTCCCACCTTGTCTCTTCTTAAAGATCGCTGGAGTCGATTACGTTTATTTTGTCCAGAAAAACTCCCTGAATTCTCGAGAACGCACTTTGCACATCGAGGCCCACAATGAGACATTTTCTAACAGGGTCATCATCCACGAACACTGCTGCTACACGGTGAGTCGTGGCGCCCTGGGGCTCCAGGGCCATGTGCCATCACTGTTAAAACAGAGCGCGTCTGTGCTTCACCAGCGCTGTCTCCTTTGGGATGAGTGGCATTGTTGGGAGTTGGTGTAGCACACTGAGTGCAGGGCTGTATTGTGACAGTCAAGGCTGCCAGCTGATGCCACGGCTGTTGTTGTTTCTAAGGCAGGGACTCGCTCTGTGCCCCTGTCTTGGAATTTGCCATGCAGACCAGACTAGCCTTCATTTGCTTCTGTCTTCTTGCCTTGTCTCCTGAGTGCTGGACCACAAGTGTGCACCATTGCACTCAGCTCCTGATTAGTTTGTTGTTCTTGCCTTGTCTCCTGAGTGCTGGACCACAAGTGTGCACCATTGCACTCAGCTTCTGATTAGTTTGTTGTTCTTGCCTTGTCTCCTGAGTGCTGGACCACAAGTGTGCACCATTGCACTCAGCTCCTGATTAGTTTGTTGTTCTTGCCTTGTCTCCTGAGTGCTGGACCACAAGTGTGCACCATTGCACTCAGCTCCTGATTAGTTTGTTGTTCTTGCCTTGTGTCCTGAGTGCTGGACCACAAGTGTGCACCATTGCACTCAGCTCCTGATTAGTTTGTTGTTCTTGCCTTGTCTCCTGAGTGCTGGACCACAAGTGTGCACCATTGCACTCAGCTCCTGATTAGTTTGTTGTTGTTTTTGTTTTTTCTCAAACAGGGTCTCACTGTTTAGCTCTGCCTGGCCTAAATTCATTATGTAGAGCAGGCTGGGCTGGAATTCACAAAGGTCCACCTGCCGCTACCTCCCAAATGCTCAGACTAAAGGCATGTAGTACCAAGGCCAGCTTCCCGATTGGTTTTGTAAATATGAAGTTTCGTTTGTTCTTTCCTGGCCCAGCTTCTGACGCTTTAGATGTGTTGTTGTGAGGAGAGCTCTGAGTGTTGCCCATCTTGGTGTTCACTGTATACACTTATTTCAGGGACTTCTTTTCCCCAGAGCAGGAGGATAAGATAACCCTCTGATCCGCTTCAGCCGTTAGCCTCCTATGCCATCCTCCACACAGGATCCTCCACACAGGACCCTCCACACAGGACCCTCCACACAGGATCCTCCACACAGGATCACAGGAGCCTCCACACAGAACCCTCCATACAGGATCACAGAACCCTCCACACAGGATCCTCCACACAGGATCCTCCACACAGAACCCTCCACACAGGATCACAGAACCCTCCACACAGGATCCTCCACACAGGATCCTCCACACAGAACCCTCCACACAGGATCACAGAACCCTCCACACAGAACCCTCCACACAGGATCCTCCACACAGGATCCTCCACACAGAACCCTCCACACAGGATCCTCCACACAGAACCCTCCACACAGAACCCTCCACACAGGAGCCTCCACACAGGATCACAGAACCCTCCACACAGGATCCTCCACACAGGATCCTCAGCACAGAATCCAAATGGCCCACTGAGCGCTTCTCACACTTGCCATTCTTGGGTTTGAGCCACAGCCTCCCCCTCCCTGCAGAGGGTCCGTAGCCCTCCCAGTCACCTCCCTCTGCCCCTCCCTCTCCTTATACCAGCCTTCCCACTGCTTGCCTGAGCCCTGCAGCCAGCCATGCCCTTTCTATAGCCCTCAACCCAGCTGGGCCTTTCTCCATGGGGCTGCATGGGACCTTCCCACCTGTCCGGGGCTTATCTGTCTTTCCGGGAGCCTGCCCATGTACAGCACTCGGATGCTGGGCGAGTGGGTGCAGGGGCTCGAGGGAAAGGGCTGTGTAAGTCACTGTTAGAGAGTTGTGACATTACAAGTGGAGCCATCAGGGCTCCATTCCATTGGGTAAATTTTTTGCCCTGCTTTTTTCCTTCCTGGTGTCAGTGAAGTCATTAACCACGCTTCTTCTGAGTACTGGTCGGCTAGTTGGGGAGTGGTGCAGACATGACGTCTCCATTGCGAGTGTGGTAATGGGAATGGGTTCTCTGCTTGCAGGTCCACCCTGAAAACGAAGACTGGACCTGTTTCGAACAGTCTGCAAGTTTAGACATCAAATCCTTCTTTGGTTTTGAAAGTACAGTGGAAAAAATTGCCATGAAACAATATACCAGCAACATTAAAAAAGTGAGTGTCTTCCTTGGGGTTAATGGAGAGGGTGGTGGCTGTCTCGGAGAGGGTGGCCATAGTCTGGTTGTCTTTTAACTCACTGTTGTTTCCTTGCCGAGATAAGATTTCTGTAGTTCACTCAAACTCCGGTCTTGTTGCTCAGCCTCCCAGTGTGCACCACTGCTCCCAGTGAGGATTGTTTTGGGGTGGGTGGGTAGGTGAGGGATGGGGTTTGAACTCTTGCGTGTGCCGAGCCAGCATTCTACCACAGAGCTATGTCTACAGCGGCAGATTCTGGTTTGGGGAGGGTGAGATGTCTGGGTGGTGGGCGTGTGCTCACATTGTAGCCATCTTATCTCAAAGGGGAAAGAAATCATCGAATACTACCTGCGGCAGCTGGAGGAGGAAGGCATCACCTTCGTGCCCCGCTGGACCCCGCCCTCTCTGGGGCCCTCATCAGAAACATCGTCATCAAGCAAGAGCCAAGCTACATCTGCAGCTGTCCTTGTTCCTGATGCTGCTGCCCTCAAGGAGGGGGTCAGCGGGGAGGGCCTCAGTAGCCCAGGCACTGCTTCCGAGCCTGTGGTGGGCACCCCCGACGGTGAGCCTGGCATGGAGCAGAAAGGCCGTCTGTGTCTGACCTTGTTTCCTGAGCCTCCCGCTTGGGGAACACGTTCATTTTATCCAGAAAGTGTTTTCCAAGCGTTTTGATTGATGGCACCTTCAGTGATGACAGGGACAGCTTCCCAGGGACACTTCCTTGAGTGTCACTGCCGTCAGCTTGGAAACCCCAGTTCATATTTGGGGTTGCTGAGGCGCAGAGCAGTTGCGTGACCTGTGATGTCACACAGCCTGTAAGCGGCAGGGCTGGAAGTGCATGGCAAGGGCTGGGCCCAGGGTTGTGTGCAGCTTTCTATGTGCTAAGCACACACAGAGCACACATTTTTAATTTTTAGTTACAAAAGTTTAGAAAATAGGGGAGAAAATCTGAAAACGCTGGGATAGCCTAACGCTGAGAAGCACTGTGAGATAATGCTGTTTATCTTTTCTTCGTCCTTCTTGCCTTTGCACAGTCCCTGGGGAAAGGTGTTGGGGTGCTCTTGAACTCATGTGTCTGTTAAGCTATCAGCCTGTGCTGAGCAGTACTGAAATTACAGGCGGAGGAGGCTCAGAACCTGCCTGCGTTATCGGGATCTCATCTTAAAGACCGCTTACTTAGCTGTGGTTATCAGTGATGCCACCCTAAAGGCTGGCGGAGCTGCCCAGGACAGCTGCCGTGCCAACTGCCCCGTCCCCCCCCCCCCCAGTGCCCCAGCCATGTGGCAGTCTCTCCGAGAGAAGGGCTCAGGGTTCATTCTCCCTGGTAAATAACGCCACGCACCTTAAATTCCAGATAAACTAGATGCCGACTATATCAAAAGATACTTGGGTGACCTGACCCCCCTCCAGGAGAGCTGCCTCATCAGACTGCGCCAGTGGCTCCAGGAAACGCACAAGGGCAAAGTAAGTGTCGTTTCCTCCGTGACCCTGCAGCCTCCGGGCCCATCTGAGGCTCTTAAGAAAAAAGGTCCTGGTCGAGTCACTGTGCCGATTCCCGTCTGACAGCCCACAAGTGTGTCTGCTGTGGCACCAAATCCTCACGCCAGGGTTAAGATGCCATGCACCCACAGACACCGTGGTTTCTGCATTTCACAGAGAAAGATAAGAGTTCAGAAACCACAGAGTGTCTGTCGGGGTAGAGGATCTGGAGGCCAGACGTGCTGGAGCGTCGTTTTAAGTGTCGGCCTTAGCATGCACAGAAATCAGCTTGGTTGTAACACTTTAACACACGTGTGTCTTTATACTTTGTTATTCAGGAGGATGTCATCTTCCCCGCCCCTCCCCCAGCACAGTGGCGCTTTGGTTCTGAGATTGAGGGAGAACTTAGCCCAACAGGAGTGAGGTTTATGGGAAACAGGCCATTTGATATGTCTACTAGTGTGGACATTATCGGATGAAGGGGGCAGGGCACCACGTGTGGCTGGCCTGGTCGCTCACACCTGGTTGTCTGGGTTTATAGCTGCGTACCACCAGTTGTTGGGGAAGCGGCCACAGAGGAGCAGCTGGCCTGGACAGCTGTGTAGTGGGTGCTCCAGCTCCCCCAGTCCTCACAGCCCTGTGGGTGAGTGTAGTGAGAAGCAAGGCAGGAGTCAGGCAGAGGGTGAGGTCTTGGGGCTGGTGTGTGATAAAGCAGGATCGAAACTCAGACCACATGGTCCCAGCACCCACAGTCCTGTCCCTCCCCATCTTCTTCGTAGAAGCAATGTATACCAGTTTATTAGGGTGAGGGTTTATTTCCATGCATGCATTTAAATAATTTACTTATTTCGTGTGTGCGTGCGTGCGTGCGTGCGTGCGTGCGTGTGTGTTTCCCTGCATATGTGTACCGTGGGCATGCAGTGTCTGTAGAGGCTAGAAGAGGGCACCACATTCCCTGGGACTGGAGTTAGAGATGGCTGTGACCCGCCCAGTGAGAGCTGGGAACTGAACCTGGGTCCTCTGGAGGAGCAGCGCGTGCCCCTAGCTGTTGAGCCGTCTCTTCAGCCCTGCCAACCCCCCCACCCCCACCCCCTGCCACCTTCTGTTTTGGGAGAGTCTTATTGTAGCGTCACGCTTTGAAGAAGAGTTCTTTTTAATGTTTTGTTATTTTATGTTTATGGGTGTTTGCTTCCATGTGTTTACACAGCATATTCAACCACTTTTGACCCTCTTGTGTTACCTGTGAGTGTGCTGGCGTTGTGTGCGCCCCCCCATGCCCCCCCATGTTCTTAATCACTTCTATGTGACCAACTCTTCACAGACGATTGCTGTCACACCCTCAGCGCGGCCTTGCCTCATGCGGCCAGGAGGGGTCACGAGAGGCTGCTGTCCCACTACCTTCACTCATGAGGGAGATGCCTGGCCCAGAGCAGGCTAGGAACACTGCCTGTACTTGCTCTTTGTCCCAGCAAGCGTCCTGTGGATGAGTGTCCACGCCAGCGCCTGAAGTATTCTGTGTACAGAAAAGGCATCTCACTACAGCTCACACCAAGCCAGTGTGTAGGGCTGGGGTTGGGTGTTCAAGAAGCCCGTTCACAGCCGGTTGTGGTGGTGTGTCCCTTCAGGGTCTCCTTAGTGAGTTCCAGCCAGAGCTTTGTCATGACACCGTGCCTCAGACAGACAGACAGACAGTCTGTCCCCGTTGACTTTGCAGAGCCAAGAACAGCGCACTTGGCACTTGGGATGGTTCAGCACAGGGCTGCTTTTGCTTTGTTTTGTTTTTTAATGGCACTGGGGGTGACTTTTCTGGCAGCATTTGGTGGTGCAAGGCGTGAACCCCAGCTTCATTCCTGCTAGAAAAGCATTCTACCCCAGGCTGCACTCAGCCTACGAATGCTGCTTTGACGTGTCATTGTGACCAGTGTGGCTCACTGTTGGCAGTGGGTGGGTGTCTTGTGGTTTCTATTGCCGTGAAGACACCATGACCACGGTAACTCTTATGAAGGAAGGCATTTAATGGGGTGGCTTACATTTTCAGAGGTTTAGTCATTGTCATGATGTGACACTGCGTACAGGCAGACTTGGGATAGAGAAGGCGCTGAGCTGAGCGTCCTACATCTTAGATCCACAGCAGCAGGAAGGGAACTGTCTCACTGGGTATGACTTGAGCTGATATGAGACCTCAAAACCCACCCCCATGGTGACACACTTCCTCCAACAAGGCCGTACCTTCTCCAGCAAAGCCACACCTCCCAGCATTGCCACCCCCTATGAGCTCATGGGGACAGTTACATTCAGACCACTGTGGTATGTTTGACTTTCCCTCCAGCAACTCCCAGGGCTTAGAAACCTCTCTTCTTCTAGATCCCAAAGGATGAGCATATTCTCCGGTTTCTGCGCGCCCGGGATTTTAATATTGACAAAGCCAGAGAGATCATGTGCCAGTCTCTCACGTGGCGGAAACAGCACCAGGTGGATTACATTCTGGACACCTGGACTCCACCCCAGGTCCTGCAGGATTACTATGCTGGAGGCTGGCATCACCATGACAAAGGTAGGGAGGTCCTGACATGGTCCCAGCAGTGTGCCAATTTCACTCTACAGGCATCCTGTCACATGACTGGCTGGCATGTGGTCAGAAGCCCATTCACACCCAAGCCTGCCGGCCAGCCACTAGGAAGTGGTGTGAGGGCCATGCCCTCTGCTCCCAGAGGAAATCATTGCAGTGTGTGGTACAGTTAGTAACTGAGCACCGAGACAGCAATGGCCACCACCTTCCTAGTAGCCAAAAGCTGCCTGGCCCGGTCTCCTGCCGCCGACGGTACAGGAGGACTCGACGAGGGCCGAGGCACAGCACAGGTGTGTGCCAGCCACCCCTGCAAAAGGCAGCCCCAAGAAATTGCCCCAGCCCCGAACCAGCCTCAGCCTCGCCCTGCTGATGCAGAGCGTCCTGCCAGCTGTGCAGAGGGGCACTGTGGTCATGCAGGTGTGACAGGGTACCAGAAGGTGCACCCTTCTCCCCTTGAAACGTCCTTTTGGAACAGCCCCTGGAAACCTTGATTTTAACTTTATGAATGCAGTTCTCCAGATTAATTATAGCTGTATTAATTTTTGCTTGTTTTTATATTTTTGAGACAAGGTCTCACATAGTCCAGGCTAACCTTGAACTCTCTGTTTTTTTTGGGGGGGTATTTTTTATTTTTATTTTTATTTTTATTTTTGTTTTGTTTTGTTTTGCTTTGTTTCGAGACAGGGTTTCTTTGCTTTGGAGCCTGTCCTGGAACTCGCTCTATAGACCCGGCTGGCCTCAAACTCACAGAGATCCTCCTGCATCTGCCTCCCGAGTGCTGGAATTAAAGGCATGCACCACCAATGCCTGGCTTACCTTGAACTCTCTGAAATAGCTAATGAACTTTTAACTCATCTGTTGGTTTTGTTTTTAATATTGTATATAATTGATGATCACAATAACTTTTGGGTTTCTGCTTGACATGAGGTCTCTTTATGTAGCATAGGCAAGCCCTGAACCCAAGATCCTCCTGCATTAGGATCCTGAATGCAGAGATACAGTACTATGGATTCTGATGCCCATGACTTCATTAAGTTTTACTGAAAATGTAATACTTATTTTTATTTTGCTTTGTGGCTCAACTCTTAAATGTTAAAAAGCTTTGGTAGTAAGCTTTTTTACTAAATGTCAGGAGAGCCATGTGTGGCGGTGAAAGTTTGTAGTCCCACCCCTTGAGAGGCAGAGGCGGGGTGCTCTCTGTGGGTTCAAGGTCAGCCTCATCTATGGAGCAAGTTCCAAGCCAGCCAGAGTTACATAGTGAGACCCTGGGCTGCAGGTGACATTCTCCAGGGGACAGGCGTTGGTCCCAGGCAGGACGACAGCCAACCCAGTATGTTGAGGGTGCATCTCAGTGTTGCCTGGGTCCCGGGGGCACACTCTGGCCCAGGGTCGTCTTTACTCTTGTGGGTGGTGACAGGTTCTAGAGTGAGTTAGGTGGCCTGTTCATTGGTCCAGGCTGGGGAGCCATCCATAGCATGTGCTGCCTCTGGGACTTAACGGTTTCTAGATGTGTGTGTCAAAGAAGGCTGGCTTTTTAAAACTTGTCAATAATTTTATAATACTTTATGGCAAAAGTGTTTTATAATTAAGAAACCTCTCAGTATTCAGAAAATATGTGGCTGTGCTGATATCCCCTGTAGTGAAGATTGAGCTTAGCAGCACCCATGGTCACACAGGTCAGAGAGCCAGGCAGGCTGCACCCCAACTGAGTTCCACTTGGCCTGCCCAGTCCAGCAGTGTGAGCCCTGGACCCTGTCAGTTGCTATCAGTTGCCCCTCCCCCATGCCACCCTTACACACGGACAGTCTCCCTCTGCTCCTCAGAGTAGGCCAGAGCTCCACGCTTAACCTGCTTATCCCGATCCCAAGGACTGAGTGCAGGGGAGCGTGCTCTCCTGGGGAGCCTTTCTGTGCTGTGCAGGGGACAAACACAAGGTCTCACAGGAGGGAGGGGCCCTCTGGCAGGAGCTGCTGCTTAGTCCTCATCAAGATCTTAGAGGCAAGTCCTGCCACTCACGCAGCTCCCTCCTGCCTCCCTGCAGATGGGCGACCGCTGTATGTACTCAGGCTGGGCCAGATGGACACCAAAGGCCTGGTGCGAGCCCTCGGAGAGGAAGCTCTGCTACGATACGTAAGTGCTCTGGGACGATGGGTCCCGTGCTGGCCCCGCTCCTGCTGCCAGCAGGACTGGCCTCACAGCACTGGGACAAGTGTGCTCTGCTCTGCTCTTGGGGAGATGTGCTTTGCAGAAAGGCTTCCAAGGAAGCAGGCGCACAGCGAAAGCCTCAGCAGATAGCTCCTGCCACCTCTGACTCAGAGTGGTCACCCATGTCACACCTCTTGACAGATCTCCTCATTAACCCTTCCCCATTACAGGCCCATGGCCCTTTCATAGACTGCAGAGGTGATTGCAGACCACCCGTGTATCTCCCCAGATCTACTGCACCCCTGCCCCAGAGAAGAGTCTGTTCTTGCAAAACAATCACATCTCTTCCAGTATTCACACAGGCACGCGCGCACGCGCGCACACGCTTTTGTTCTACCCAGGAGCTCTCCTGGGCCTCCCTCCCTGGCAGCTGCTCTGCCTGCCTCTATCCCGGCTGACATGGTGAGGCCAGGGTGTGCCCACATCCCTCGCGCTCTCCTACTGCCCTGAATGAGCTCGGTCTGCAGGCAACCCCACATTGGTTATCGATGCTCAGGCGACTCTCTGAGCCATGCTTTCTTTGGCCACCTGTTCCCACCTGCTTTCTCCTGTTGATGCCGCCATTTATTCTCTGCAAGGGAAGTAGTCACTGTTGCCTTGTGGAGTGTATGGGGGTGCCTGTGGCCATATGTGTCTCTGTCCTGCTGCCTTAACGCCCTCTGTTAAGTTTGATGTGACTTTTGCCTTCTGGGACTGACCCTGGCCATCGTCATTTGCTCCTCACAGGTTCTTTCCATAAACGAAGAAGGCCTAAGACGATGTGAAGAAAATACCAAAGTCTTTGGCCGGCCGATCAGGTTGGTGTGTGTGTGTGGGGTCTCATCTCCTTTCATATATAGAACGGGAGCTAAATACTCTGATAGTTGACTGTTTTCAACATGTTCTAGAAGGTTGAAAAGCAAGTGATAAGGTCAGGTCCAGGGACAGTGCCAAGGTTTGGTGTTTTTCACTTGAGTCTCCAGTGTGCATGGTCCGGGGCTGGGACTGCAGGTGCCTTGCCTGTTCGTTTTTGTGCCCCTCAGCCCCGTTCTTTTTCATGAACCAGCTCCTAATTGTGGAGGAAACTTAAAACTTTAGGAAAGAAAAGCCAGGCATGGTGGCTCACTCCTGAGCCAGGGAGTTAACACCGGGATGCTCAGCTCTCATTAGCCAGGCTGCCCTGAACCCTGATCCTCCTGCCTCTGCTTCCTGAGCACTGGGATTTTGGCAGGTCATGGCTCACTGCGGTCTGGCGGGACTGTGCCTCGTAGGTCAGGCTTTGTCCTAGTCACCATTGCTGGTCTGTGTTTCATACATGCAGATATAAATAAGAATTCACAGCACTTTAATTTTTAAAAACCGTCATATATTCAGGAATGGCTATAAATGACTTTTATATCAAAAGAAGACGATGAAATAGAACATCTGTTAAATAAAACTCGGTCTTCGTATTATCCGCAGCTCATGGACCTGCCTGGTGGACCTTGAAGGGCTGAACATGCGGCATCTGTGGAGACCTGGAGTCAAAGCCTTGCTGCGCATCATCGAGGTGGTGGAGGCCAACTATCCGGAGACGCTGGGCCGCCTCCTCATCCTCCGAGCCCCCAGAGTCTTCCCTGTCCTCTGGACACTGGTGGGTTTCGATGCTGTCCTGTGGCCTGCCGGGCATGCTCAGTACCTGCCTCCCACTGAAGCCTCCGCTAGGCAGGAGAAAGCAAATAGACACAGCTAGAAATGAGAGGGACAACAAGCGGGTTCTCCTGAGGCTTCCCAGTGCTTTCCCGGTGGTGTCATAGAGTGCCCCGCGCCCCCCCCCCCACCAGGGCCGCACAGTGTAGGCTTGCTCTCTGAAGACGGGGCAGCAGATGAAGTTACTGTTTGTCTGATTGCTTTCAGGTTAGTCCATTTATTGACGACAACACCAGAAGAAAATTCCTCATTTATGCAGGAAATGACTACCAGGGCCCTGGAGGCCTGATAGATTACATCGATAAAGAGATAATCCCAGATTTCCTGAGTGGGGAGTGCATGGTATGTATCGGGCGAGCCCCTGGGTCAGGCCCAGCACTGCTTTGCGCGGCTGGTTTTCCTTTGTTGGACTGGGCTGGGCCACCGGGAAGTCTGGAAGATGCATTAGCTAACACTCAGGAGGGAGTGACCGTCCCCAGTGCCCACAGCTCCCTTTATCCACAGAGCTGTGTAAATCCTATCTCGACTGCTTCAGAGAAGCTGTGCATGTTTCTTTATAAATGGCCTTTCCTTTATACATATCTGTGAGAATGTGAGTGTGTAGACTCGGGCTTGACTGATTTGGTCTCCACTGTGTTCATTGAGGCTGGGTCTCATTTGAACCCAGGGCTCACTAATCAGGTGAGTCTGTCTAGCCAGCTTGCTCCAGAGTTCTTCCCTCCCACCTCTCACGAAGTACAGGCAGGCCCACTCAGCAGTCACAGAGGTGCTGCAGATCCAGACGCTGCCCTCACGCTTGTATACGAACACCTCGCCATTGACCCTCTCCTAAGCTGATACAAACGCTTGTATGATGTGGAGTCCACTTCAAAGACTGTTTCTCCTTGACTTAATACTCAGAGAGGAACAGTAGAAGAATTACTTCTCGTTTAAGAAATGAGGTGGTGGATGATGGATGAGGCAGGGGCCTGTGCTGGCAGACCTGAGCTGTGGCGAAGGGGACTGATCCTGGAACATGGAGGCTCACACCCAGAGCCTGATGTGGGGGCTCAGGGAACAGCGCCCACAGAGCTGTGTGACCGGCTCCATGGCACACAGTGGGAACGGGCGCAGCAGGGAGGCAGCCTGCTCTTAGTGACACTTGACCCTGACACTGGTCTTCTGAGGCGTGTGCCCTGGAGTTGTCTGCCTGTTTTAGCCAAAGAGTTGAGCTTCCAGTGTGGATTTTCAAAATGGCTGGAGGAATTTAGAAGACAGAAGAGTTGGAACTTTGGCTCTATGAGAGAGATCAAAGGTGTCGTCCTAGTACAGTATGAACGAGGTCACAGCACGGGCCAGGCTGTGGTACCCATGACAGCTGTCAAGGGAAAAACTTCCCAGCAGTTATGACAAGAATTGAGCTGGGGCAGAGGGCTCAGCTCGTACCGTCAGCTACACCTGCTGTCAGTGTATGCGGTGCTGTGACATGCTCAGAGTCACCGGTGCTGTGACATGCTCAGAGTCACCCGTGCTGTGACATGCTCAGAGTCACCGGTGCTGTGACATGCTCAGAGTCACCGGTGCTGTGACATGCTCAGAGTCACCCGTGCTGTGACATACTCAGAGTCAAGCCGAGGCCTCTCAAGGCCTGTTCTCGACTCTCTCCAGTAGCTCCTCAGGCTGGCGGCTGGCAGGAAGTCATCCATGAACTCTGTTGACTTCCTTGTGGACAGGGGTATTGAACCTTGGGCCAGGCTGGTGTTTGTCTGTCTGTTCCCTTGAGGCAGCCTCATTATGTAGCCACTCTGGCCCTGAACTCGCAGCCCTCCTGGCTCCGCACCCTCCGTGCTGGAGTGCGGGCTTCACTGGTAAGCCTGTCCCCACCAGCTCTGTGACTTTGGGCGGCAGCAGGGACATTTCCCCACTGGTGCCCTGCCACAGCTGAGGGCTGCAGTCTCAGTTCTGTGGAGTTGCTTCCAGGCTGACACCTCAGGAGGTGCTTAGATTTGTGTGCCCTTGAATGTGAGTTTGCTTTCTAATTGACCTTAGTCAGTTTTGGGGTTCATTAATTGTTTGGCTGTGGTTGCATAGTTGAGTGCGTGCGTGCGTGCGTGCGTGCGTGTGTGAGATGCTGAGGCTGAACGCAGACCTGGTGCGTGTGAGGCGGGCGCTGTGCCCCGCAGTGACCAGTGACAGCAGTTCCTGTGGCTGTTGGGAATGAAACTCTGCCTAAGCAAATGCTTTCCCTTTGCAGTGTGATGAGCTTTTAGTGCTCGTGTAAATCGTCTTGGTAATTGAGTTCGGTACCTCATGCATATTAGTGTGAATCCTGTGGTAAACCAGTGTCAGCTTGCTCTCATTTACTCAGAGTGAAAACACTTGTGTCTAAGTGGACCACGCTAAGTACTACACAGCGTTTGATGGCTTGTTCTCCACTTGCTCAGCCGCCTCAGGAGGTGGGTGTGTGGACTATGGGCTGCCTGGCCACCTCATGGCTCTCACTGCCATGTTTGCCTTCTAGTGTGACGTGCCGGAGGGTGGCCTGGTCCCCAAATCTCTGTACAGAACTGCAGAGGAGCTGGAAAATGAAGACCTGAAGCTCTGGACGGAGACCATCTACCAGTCGGCCAGCGTGTTCAAGGGAGCCCCGCACGAGGTGCCCACCCTCAGCCCCCCATATCTACCAGTCCGCCAGCGTGTTCAAGGGAGCCCCGTGTGAGGTGCCCACCCTCAGCCTCCCCACCTAGCCTGTGGTGGACACGGCTTCCCTTAGGTGCCCTGGATCCTTTTTCTGGTCTCGGTTTGAGCTTTTGTTGGCACTGGGGTTGGTGAGTGGCAGCACCGAGCCAGAGTGGCCTCGGGACATTCCCGTTTGGTCAGAGTGTGCTTGCAAGCAGACTGGCCCGGTGACTGTTATCTCACTGAGAGCCCGGACCCCATGCAGAACAAGTCTTGCCTGAGAGGGCTGTTTCCAGCTCCTGGATTAGCTCTGATGGTTTTATGGAGTAAGTTTTGCTCAGTAGTTTTTCCTGGCCGTGTTCTGGTCGTTTCTTGCAGTCTTTGCTGGCTTTTGTCAGTCTGAGGGGACTGCCAAGAATGAGAAATGAGCACATTGTCTTTCCCTTCTTGCCAACATGGGGTGTGGTGGCAGGGGTGGAGGCCACAGTTTGCCAGGTCCCTCCCTGTCCCTGTGGCGGGGGCATGGCTGGCTCGCCCTTTGCTTAGCTGTAGGGCAGGTGTGTTGTTCAGTGTCCCTGGTGGGAGGCAGCACTTTATACAGAATAGGCCCATCCGTCAGTGACTGCTGGCTCTGCTGATGGCTCTCTGCTGTGACTGTGACAACCCCTGTTCAGCTGCCTGCCAGTTGTCATCGCTGACCCATAGCTACATAGAGGCATGCTGAGTAAGCCTGGGGCTGTGCTGTGAACAAGCAGGCACCAACCCGGTGTGGTGTGCCTCCCTCCCTCCCTCCCTCCCTCCCTCCCTCCCTCCCGGTCCCATGCAGGGGACCTAGGGTCTTTGACTGTCCTAAGATTCATTTGCTTTCATTTCTTATGTGGCGGGCAGGCTCGGGGCAGAGGAGCCCTTCTTTGGCATTTATTAGGCAACTCTTAATCTTGTCTTTGTCACAAGGCTCAGGGACTCACTGTGATTTCTAAGTCACAAAGCGCCCGTCAGTGTTGACGGTGAAAGTGTCTTTGTTCTTTGGTGTGTAAGCACACATCAAAGAGTTTGCCTAGAGTGAAGGGGACCTCGGGGTCCCTGTTGCCCCGTCAGCCCCAGGGCCCAGGTCTCTTGATAGATCTGCCCTTGGGGAGCTCCTTTGATGAAGGGGACATGCTGCTGTGACCTTCTGTGTCACAGAGGGGTTGGAAGAGGCCAGGCAGACTGCAGAGCTGCCTCTCCTGCTCTGCGGTTTCACAGCCTGCCCTCTTCCCTCTGGGACACTTCAGATCGATGCAGGATAAATTCCAGGCTTGGGATTGGCCCTTCTGTACCCTCAGCTGTCACCCCCAGGACACAGCTGATCTACACCTATTTACATGCTGTGGGCATATGGCTCTACCAGCCTGCTCTGTTTATGCACTCACTTCGGTGGGGCCTGCTACTGCCCCCTAGCTTGAGGCAGTCCACTGAACCCCATGCCCATGCTCAGAAGTGTTCCTGACCTGCATCAGGAAGATGAGGCATGGGGCTCCAGAGTCCACACGGAACGTGTTTGTCTCATTGGTGGTGTCCAGTGAGAACACAGAATGGTGGGTAGGTTGCTAGATGGGTATCTAGATGGTTGACTGGCTGTGGCAAAGAGAACTGGCCATTTGATCTGTTCTGCCCCTTTGCCAACTCACACACCTGAGCCCTAGAGAGCCCTAGACAGGCCTTTCCTGCCCCAGTGGCAGCCAGGCCTCCTGCTGTGGATTGCTGGCTGATGGCATCTCTTTCTCCAGATTCTTATTCAGATTGTGGACGCAGCCTCAGTGATCACCTGGGATTTTGATGTGTGCAAAGGGGACATCGTCTTTAACATTTATCACTCCAAGAGGTCTCCCCAGCCACCCAAAAAGGACTCGCTGGGGGCCCACAGCATCACTTCCCCGGGTGGGAACAACGTACAGCTCATAGATAAGGTGTGGCAGCTGGGCCGAGACTACAGCATGGTGGAGTCTCCACTGATCTGCAAAGAGGGAGAGAGTGTGCAGGTGAGCCCGCCCTCTGACCCCTTGCTCACGGTCCATCCTGACAGGAAGGAAGCTCTTTCAGCCCATGTGGCTTCTGCTGCCAGGGGAAGGGCACAGGTGGGCGGGGAGACTCAGGATGCCCGGGGGCACAGTGGAAGGGGCCCCTGAGGAGGGCCTGAGACCAGGGCGTGGATTTCCCCAGAGGCGCCAGCAGACGGGAAGCAATGCTTTGTAGGCACACGTCTGGGTTCAGTGACTTCACTGAGATGTGACGGGCATGGCTTTGCCTCCCGAGGAACAGAACAGCCAGAAACAAGAGGAGCGAGTGCAGAGGGCACTGCCAGCCCCTGATGGGAACCATGGCAACTCTGCACGTGAGCGCTTGACCCAGAAGGAAGAAGTCACTGGAACAAATCGCCAGAGTGCAGGGGAGGTGACAGGAATGTGGCAGAGCTTTCCCTGTCCAAGAGACAGGCCCAGCTGACAGCCGCTGCAGGCTGCTGAGGGGGCAGACAGGTGCTGCCTTCCCAGCACCTGGCAGAGGCCTGGGCACAGGCCACACCCTCTCGCTGTTTCCTGATGGCCAGCTCTCAGGACACCCTCCCCTTGGAACTCGTCAGACCTGTTTGAAGGTTAGCAGAGTGTCCCGAGTTACCACTGCTTGATGTTGCAGGGCTCCCATGTGACCAGGTGGCCAGGCTTCTACATCCTGCAATGGAAGTTCCACAGCATGCCAGCGTGCTCCGCCACCAACCTACCCCGAGTGGATGACGTGCTGGCCTCCCTGCAGGTCTCCTCCCATAAGTGCAAAGTGATGTACTACACAGAAGTGATCGGGTCTGAGGACTTCAGGTGCATGCCTGAGGCGGCGGGGGGAGGGGGGGACACACGGGGATGGGACACGCTACTCGTTTCCTGTCTGTGGGGCTGGAGGAGAGGGAGCACAGCCTGGCATTTGCTGAATGTAATATCACCTGTGGGCAAACCACAAGAAATGGGTCCCTCCAGTGGGATGGTCATGTCCCATCCCTGCTTTACAGGCAGAGATGAGCTGGGGTCCAGCAGGCACTGTGGGCACCTGGGTGGCTCAGGCAGGCCCTCACTCCTTGTTCTTTCTTGGCTCCGTTGCAGAGGCTCCATGACCAGTCTGGAGTCGAGCCACAGTGGGTTCTCACAGCTGAGTACCGCCACCACCTCTTCCAGCCAATCACACTCCAGCTCCATGATTTCCAGGTAGTGCTGCGAAGCCTGTGCCCAGTGCGGAGGGACTTCCTCCTGGACTGCTGTCTCCACCCACCCCAGGACGTGCAGACTCCTCACCCTCTAGATAGCAGCTAGCTCTCCAGACGGTATACTAGCCACTTGGCCCCAGACTATGGTGACAGGTAGTTTTACCTCTACCCCTAACTTTAACTCAATAGCCATAGATTTTGTATGCAGCGTGCACAAAATCAAACCAGAGCACAAGGGCTCTCGAAAGAAAAGTAGCTTATCTACAGTAAGAGACTGACTGGTCTCAAATGTTGATGCAAAAAAATTTTCCAACAAACTCCACCTTGTCCACTAGCGAATGACTTGTATGACATCCTGCAGAGACAACCGCCTCCTCCACGGAACCGAAGCTGCGGCAGGCAGCACTTAGGCTGCACCGGAGTCCTCACGGCTCCCTGTTAGGAGAGGTGGCCTTTGGATTCAGGACAGCCCTCGAGGTCCCTTTCCTCTGAGAACTTGGCAGCCTACAGGAGCACCCAATCCCGGGGCTAGCCAGCCTACTCCTGAGCAGGCTCTCTGCCCAGGGGGGCTGTCAGGCTTCTCGCGACTCCCGACAACACCGCCATCATTAAACATTGCTTTCTCTTTCCTCCTCTTCAAAGCTTTTGATATTTTTCAGAGCAAAATTTTTTTGTCCATGAACTTGGGGAAGGGGAGGGTTCTATTCTCTGCTGAATACTGCTTTCCTTCTGCAGGCGGGCAGCTCTGTCCTCAGCCTTCAGCACCCAGGGTCCTCCTAGCCCCCAGCACCCAGGGTCCTCGCCCCTCAGCACCCAGGGTCCTCAGCCCTCAGCAGGTGTTTGGAAGGAGTAGGTCATGCTTCCTTTCGGAAGTTTGGCAGTACAGACTCCAATAATGCTTCCCGGGGTGACGCATGGATTTTTGTGGCCTCGGGTGTGTGAGGGACGTTGTGGGGGTGTGTGCAGGCGCTGTGTGTGTGCATGAGGGAGTGGGGTGCTGTGAGATGGCAGGACTTCGTTTGTTTTATCATTGTTTATAGACCCAGACCAGAGGCTGACTTGCTTTGTCTTTTCTTTCTGATCCTGACTTCCCAAAGCCTGCTGTTTAAGCAGGCCTGCCCTTCACAGCTTGCTTTTATGGGGAAAGCTCACTGCTTACAAAGCTGCCTGGAAATTGCAGGTGGCTGATCTCATGAGAAGGGCATGGGATGTGTTTTGTGTGGAATCATGTGTTGACACCGCCAGGAGGCATTGGGTGGATGTCTGTGACTGAGAGCTTTGTAGAGGCTGTGGCTTATCAGCAAGCTTGAGGAGAGACTACAAGGCAGCCTGGCTCAGCCAGCGAGCCCACAGTGAGCCTGCTGGCTCCCTGCACCCGGCGCCATGCCCAGGCCTGGGGTTACTGGCTGCTCTGGCCCTTCTCCATGCGTTGTCTGTGCGTGGGAGCCATTTCTAGACTGGCTGCTCTGGCCCTTCTCCATGCGTTGTCTGTGCGTGGGAGCCATTTCTAGACTGGCTGCTCTGGCCCTTCTCCATGCGTTGTCTGTGCGTGGGAGCCATTTCTAGACTGGCTGCTCTGGCCCTTCTCCATGCGTTGTCTGTGCGTGGGAGCCATTTCTAGACTGGCTGCTCTGGCCCTTCTCCATGCGTTGTCTGTGCGTGGGAGCCATTTCTAGACTGGCTGCTCTGGCCCTTCTCCATGCGTTGTCTGTGCGTGGGAGCCATTTCTAGACTGGCTGCTCTGGCCCTTCTCCTAGACAGCACAGTAGGGCTCTAGTTACTGTGTCCCTGCTGCTTCCGGTCGGGGCTTCCCAGCTCCAAGTTAAAGGGCCTCAAGATGCCCCTGCTCTCTCTCTCTTCCTCTCCCTCTCCCTGTCTCTGTGTCTCAGATGGCGATTTTGCTGACAGCCTCCAAGAAAACGCTTCACTCAACAGTCCTCATGTGCCCAGAGATGTTTGTAGAACTGTTTGGGTCGCAGCCGTGTCTCAGGCTGAAGATCTGTTCCCCTTAAGTCCATGCAGAAGTGGCACTGCCCAGCCCCTCAGAGCTGAGCGCATCTCTAGGAGCTCATGGGTGTACACTCACAGCCCTTTCCGCTTCCCCAAGCCACAGGGCACTGGCTGCCTTGTGAGGGGCGACTGGGTGTGCCACGAGTGTGTGTGGCTCGCTGGGCCTCTCCTCAGTGCCCGGCCCTTGTCCTGAAATGCTGCTGCCTCGCTCTCCTGCCCCCAACTCTGTGGGATCTCCCTGTTATTAGTGTCTTAATTCACTGTCCTTCCTGACTCCATTTGCATATCAAATTCTGTAAATGTTTTGTAAACATATTACCTCACTCTTGGTAATACAATACTGATAGTCTTTAAAAGATTTTTTATTGTTACAATAATAAATGTGAACTGTTTAAGAAGAGTGTCCTTTTTTGGGGAAGAGTCAAGATTGAGGAGAGGGTGGCTGATGGACGGCAAAGGGAGGCCATGCTGAGTGGGCGGCCCACAGTCTCTGCGTGCCTCCTGAAGGCTGCTGTGCCCTGTGCATCCCACACATCACGTGTGACTGGGACAGCCTGCCTCCCAGTGTCATGTTCCTTACTATAAAATGTGTCTCCCTGGGCGGGTGTGGACCTGGGGGGCCTGATGCAGAGGCAGCAGAGCCCAGAACGGCAGGGCATGCACAGGTGGGGGGGGGGGTTCATCCCAGGCATGCCAGGGCGTGGAGGGCGGGCAAGCTCTGTCCTCGTCGGGCCCTTGGTCTGTCCCTAGTTTGGCACTGGGATCTGATCATTACGTGGGGTAGAAGGCGGTGGCTCCCAAGTGGTGTTCGTAGCCTGGCGTGGGAGCCCTGCTTTCCCTGGGCAGTCAAGCTGGGCAGTGCCCTGACAACCCAGCCCTCGTGGCTGAACTTGAAAGCTGAGATTGCTCAAGGCAAGCCTGTCTTTCCTAGCCGTGGCCCCAGGCTCACATTCTTGAGGAAATGAGAGGCACCTGAGGATAAGCAGGACTTACGGACATCTAACCCAGGTCTCACCTGTTCAGAGAGGACCGCCCTGAAGTGGCATGCCCTAAACAAGGCCAGATTCCCTGCCTGTGCTCGTCCTGAATGACAGTTATGTAGCCCAGAGTAGCCTGAAGCTCACTGCAGTCTGGGCTAACTTGAAACTCCCCAAGTGCTAGCATAACGGCTGTGTACTGCTGTGCCAGCCCTGGAGAACTCTGGCAAACCTACCCCTTGGGAACCTACAGTTGTCAAGGGCCAGAGGACGCGATCTTCCTAGTGTTGTCATGAAGCAAACCAACTGGGCCCAGTTCTGCTTGGAAAGTAAGGGTTCTGGCAAGACAGCTCCGTGGGTGCAGGTCTCATGGCCAAGTCTCGGTTCCACATAAATGCAGTGAAGGTAAAACGTACAGCTAGTGCAGAGCTGAATCCTATGCTCCAAAATGCCCAAATGGCACTTTTTTATTTATTTATTTTAATAGATTTTTCACACTAATAGTTCCTGTGACCACCACTCTGCCACAAAACTGAGTGGTAAGGTATTCTAGAATGCCCAAAACCAGCATGAGCGAAGCACTAGTCACAAAAGCGCTCCTGCCCTGCCGGGGAAAGCTGATGCTGTAACAGGAAGGCCTCCGCAGCCTGAGGGGTCTGGGGGCAGCAGGGGACTGGCCTGCCTGTCACACGCTGAGCAGCCAGGGATGTGGGTGCTGGTGGGACAGCTCTGGTAGCAGATAGACCTGCTGTTGTGAACGCCACCAAGACAGAAGAGGGAGCCAAGTGAACTGAGAACCAGGAACGCTCACATAAAAACGGCATCCAAAGGCACCACCCACCACATCCGTCATGCAGATGACCCGACATTGAACACTGACTCCTAAACCAGGTGGTGGTGGCGCACACATTTAAGCCCAGAATTTGGGAGGCAGAGCAGGCAGATCTCTGAGGTCAAGGCCAGCCTGGTCAACAAAGCAAGTTCCAGGACTACATAGTGAAACCTTGTCTTGAAAAAAACAAAAGAGCCAAAAAAATCCAGCCAAACAAACAAGAAACTACTGAATTTCAGGCCTGGGACGTGGGTTGGTTCAAGGAATGCTGGACTAGCCTGCTGAAACCTGAGTTCCATCCAAAGCACCAGATAAACAGGTGAGGTGTGCAAGTCTGATCAAGGTCATTCTTGGCTACATCGGGAATTGAGAGGCAGCCTGGGCTGCAGGAGACCCTGACTCAAAACATAACACACAAAACTTACGTTGTTGCTTTTCAAGACAGGGTTTCCCTGTGTAACTTTGGACCCTGTCCTGGAACTCTCTCTGTAGACCAGGCTGGTCTCCAACTCACAGAGATCCACCTGCCTCTGCCTCCTGAGTGCTAGGATTAAGGGCCTCTGGTGCCATACCTGGCTCTCTCTCTTACCCCTGTCCCCAATTTTAAAAAGTGAACTAGAAGATGACAACAATAGGAATTGAAGTAATCAATAAATGAAAATCAGAGGACTCAAACGTGGAGAGATGAAACTGTGGAAATGGGAGAGTAAGTTATCCCACACTCACTAGCAAGGAGAATAAGTTATCCCGCACTCACTAGCAAGAATAAGTTAACCCGCACTTAGACACTCGCTAGCAAGGAGCACGAGGTGAGGAAAAGCAGATGATCCCATGTGAGGAGCGAGACATGATTGACAGCTAAGAAGACAGAAGTGGAGTCAGGCTGCAGCCGGGACCTCACACAACCAGAGTCAAGAAATACTCAGTTAGAGACCTCTCTGGAGGGCCATCAGGAAAACTCAGCAGATAAGGGGCTGCCCCCAAGCCTGATGACCCGAGTCCCATCCCCCGGACCCATATAACAGAAGGAGAAATCAACTCCTGACCTCCACACATACTCTGTGGCATGTGTGGGCACCTACACACACACACGCACGCACGCACGCACGCACGCACACACGCACACACACACACGCTGTGTGCCAAGGACAGCAGGACAGGGCAGGAGCTGGGGCAGAGGCAGCCAGCCATTCCTCACTTGCGTTGTTCCTGAAGGCGTCAGGCTGCCCCAGTTAACCCTGTACCTTGCAGCCATGTGCTTGCTCCCCATGGCTGTCCTTTCTTCACAGGGGAGGCCTGGACTGTTGCCCACCCTGACCTTGCCTTTGGGCTTAACCAGAAATAGACAGCAAGAGCTTTCTCAGAGTCTGTGCCAGCCTGGAGGAGGTAGGGCCTACTGGGAAGTGTCTAGGTGACAGAGATCTGCTCCAGGAGATGGTGGGGTCAGCACCCTGAGTCTTGCTTCCTGGACATCAGATGAGTGAGATGAGTGGTTTTGCATCTTACCATAAAAGGAATGGGACCAGCCGGCTCTGGCCCAAGCCTTCACAACTCTGAGCCAGAATGAAACTTGCCTCTTTCTAACTTTGGAAGTTTGGTGTCACAGATCTGTCAGTATCATGACACTGGGGGACTCTGCAGAGGTGTTTGGGGAGAACGAACCTCCCATGCCATTAGGCCAAACTAGGATAAAAAGGCTGACGTGACCCCCTCCTCCCCGCCGCCCCTGCGATTTTACTGACCCCTCCCAACCAGAGCTCCGTCCTGGCTTTGGAGGAATACCAGCTCCTCTCATTCTCCAGGACGTCAGGCACAGGATGTCGTGTTTTCTTTCTCCGGGGGGAGGACACGAGATGGCGTGGGGAATGGAAATGGGACCGCGCCGGGCAGCTCTTCAGCTCCGGAGCCCCTGAGAATGAGAGGCCAGGCCATTTGTTGGGGTGAGCACCCAGTCCAGAACAGGGGGAGCTGACAGGAACATGGTGGCCAGGGAAAGCTCTACCCTGGCTTCTGGTGCTCCCTCTCTTGTCTCCCCCAGACTGGCCTCCTGTGAACTGCTGGCATCAGCGTCCGAAGACGGTAGGACTCAACAGCCTGGGGTGTCTGCTCTGCTCCTGGTTCTGCCCCTGCCTAAAGCGGGAGATTGCTTGCCCTGGGGAAGCAGTCCTCGAATTCCAATGGAGACAAGTCCAGTGACTTCTTGCAGGCCCTTGCCTTGTGAGCCAGAGGGGATCTGACCTGGGGCCCAGGTACCTCTGCCTTCCGGGCCCCCTCTTCCATCAGCATGCATCAACGTGTGTTTCATGGATACCTGTAGAAGGCTCTGTCAGGCTGGACTCACAACACACTGGCAGTCAACAAACTCAGCTCTTCGTCTGACTTTAAAAGAAGTGAAAGTATTTCCACAGACTCATGAGAGAATCATGGCCCCCATGGAGAGGGCAGACTGATCCCAGAGGCTGGGAAAGGAAGGCCCAGCACCCCGGGGCTCCCTAGGGGGAAGGCGGGAGTACCCGACAGTCAGCATCAAGACTGGGAGGCAGGTGCAGTGGGAGGTGTCATTTTCTTGGTGTGACAACTGTGACTTAAGGCAGGAGGAGTTCACCGTGGCTCAGTTTGAGGTGCAGTCCATGATGGCGGGGAGCCATAGTAACAGGTGTGAGGCAGCCGGTCGGTCACGTGGCATCTGCAGTCGGGAAGCAGAGAGATGGAGGCTGCTGGTGCTCAGCTCACTCCTTTTGATGCGGTTCGGGATCCCAGGCCGCGGGATGGTGCCGTGAAGTTCACGGTGGGTCTTCTCACCTCGGTCAGCCCAGTCTAGAAAGTTCCTTGAAGGCATATCTGGAGATGGGTCTCCTAGGTGACTCTGGATCCTGTCCAGTTGGCAATATCCACCACCGCGGGGACCAAGGTTGAGCTGTCTCTGTCTGCCACCCACCTGTACCCTCAGCTCTGGGCAAGGACAGGGCGTCAAGAGAGGCGCCCTCTTCATGTCCCCGTCAACACAGGTGTTGGCAGGGGGTGTTGTCCACCCTGTAGCTACCTGGGTGGGTACAAAGTTTGGCACCATGCCTCGTTACAGGAACTGTGCCCAGGGGCTGGCTTCTCAGAGGAAGATGGAGAGGAGCGGGGCTTCCCTACCGATGGAGCAGGGTCCTCACTAGGGCCTGGGCATCCTCTGGCCATAGGCTTGTTATTTCCTAGAGCAGTGGTTTTCAACCTGTGTGGGGGGGCGGTCAAATGACTCTTTCACGGGGTCACCTAAGACCATCAGAAAACACAGATGTTTGCATTAAAATTCGTAACAGTAGCAAAAATACTGTTATGAAGTAGCAGCAAGAATCACTTTATGGCTGGGGGTCACCCATTTGGGAGGCTGAGGACCCTAGAGGGAGCACAGGTCCCAGGCTGGTGTGAGCATCAGAGGAGCCCAGGACTGACAGCTTCCAGGAAGTTTTAGGGACTTACAAGGGATCAGACTTCACCCTTCAGATGGCTGGGTGCAGCTGGGGGTGGGGGTGGCTTTTGGGTGGCGGGCCTGCCCTGGTGGCCCGAAGTCTCTTCAATAGAGATGGGCTCCCTGTGAAGG